AGCTAGGAAACAAGGAGGACCCTAAGAGAGATATACATGGTCCCCTGGAGAAGGGGAAAGGCACACGATCTCCTGAGCAAATTGGGAGCAAGGAAAGAGGGGGAGGGAGCTAGGAGAATGAGAAGGGGAGAAGAGGAGGGGTGAGGCTGACATAAAGGAGCAAAAAGGTTGAGTCGGGGGAAGAATAGAAGAAAACAAGAAAGGAGATACCATAATAGAGGGAGGCATCTTAGGTTTACAGAGAAATCAGGCACTAGGGAAATTTCTGGAGATCTACAAAGATGACACCAGCTAACAATCTAAGCATCAGAGGAGAGGCTACCTTAAATGCCCTCCCCTGATAGTGAGATTGATGACTGTCTTATATGTCACCCAATAACCCTCATCCAGCAGCTGGTGGAAGTAGAAGCAGACACCCACAACTAATCACTGAACTGAACTGGAATCCAGTCACAGAGAAGAATGAGTGATGAGCAAAGGGGTCCAGACCAGGCTGGTGAAACCCACAGAAACAGCTGACCTGAACAACAGGGAGCTCTTGGTCCTCAGACTGATAGCTAGGATACCAGGATGGGACTGATCCAGACCCCAGGAACGTGGGTTTCAGTGAGGAAACCTCAGAAATCTAGGGGACCTCCTGTAGTAGTTCAGTACTTATCCCTAGCATAGGTGTGGACTTTGGGAGCCCAATCCACATACAGGGATACTCCCTGAGCCAAGACACACAGGGATGGTTCTAGGCCCTATCCCAAAGGATATGATAGACTCTGATGATCCCCTATGGAAGGCCTCACCCTCCCTGGGGAGCAGAAAGGATATGTGATAGGTAGGGTTTAATTTGGGGAAGGTGGTAGGGGAGGAGGGGAGGTAGAGGGAACTGGGATTAACATGTAAAACAATCTTGTTTCTAATTCAAATAAAAAAAGAGCTCAACAATAAAAAAAAAAAGTGGTGCCCATGTGTCTTAAGGTGGAGCCCAGTCATCTTTCACCATGGACAATGGTTTAACTAGTTAGTGTGTGATGTGCTTCCATGGGTGAGTGTTCACATGTATGTATAAGTGTGTGTGTGTGGGGGGGGTGTGTGTGTTCACAGATACTTGTGAGTGTATATGTGCTTAACATCATGTGTCTTCTTCAACTAAAACCTATTGACATATTCATGACTGAGCATACACACCAAGTTGCGGCAATTATATAAGCAAGGAGTGGTCGTCTCTGAGATTACCCACAAGAGACAGCAGAAATATATTATAAAGAAACATAGCTGTTGGCTGAAATCTCCCAGCCCAGGCTTTGATTGCTATCATTGTGGCAGGCAGTTGCAGGAGGAAGGGCCCCTGTCTTTCCCACAGAACACAGGTACCATTTCCTGTTAGCTCTGTGGCTTGGTCACTCTGAAGAGTCCCCCTCCTCCACCCCACTCTGCTGTGCTAGAGATCTCATACTCAGGGCAGTTTCTCTCTGAAAATAAGACTTTTCCCAGCTTTGGAGTCTTCTTCAGAGCCTCACTTCAGGAGACAGCAATAGGTCCTCTCTACCACCCACTGCACCAGCACATTTAAAAGTAGAATTCAGTTTGGCTTTGTTATTAGTGTTCCCATTCTGAACCATGTCAGTGCCTGCCCCTTCTCACACTGTTTCTAAGCACCTTGGCCAGTCCACCTGGCTTCCCAGTGAGCATCAGTGTAGCACCTCTCTGGTCTCCCCTCCTTGTACCTTAGAGATGCTATATATGGCTATGCCATAGCCAAGGGTGTACTTTCCTCTGGCTTTGTCTTTTTGCTCCTGTGTGAATGGCTTGGAAGGCACCCTGAATGCTCCCTTGCTCTTTCCCTATTTGTGAAGCTGGCTTTGTGCATTTGTGGTATGTGGTATGTGCCGCCTTTCCAGAAAAGTGCCCCTTCTCAGTATTCACCTACAGCCTCACTTTCCAACAAGCAATGCCGAAGAGGAAACACATCCCTTTCTGCCTTGGCCTCAGGAGAGCCAGGCATGGTACCATGATAATGTTCCTGGACATAACAGGTCTCAAGATCCATGGAATACATGGGTCATGGCATTTCAGGATTTTCTGAGTAACTGTAATTCTAATTTAATGAATGCTTCTAACAGAGCAATAGACATAGGGGAAGAGTTCCTTGTATCATTGAGAGAGAGGGTCATTCCAAAAGTTTAAAATTGACTTTTCAGATTAAGGATATTGGAAATCATAGAAGAGAAAGATACTCAAATACCTGAACAGATACTACCGATGGTTGGTAGCATTGTTTGAAACTAGTTTTAAAATATGCACATTTGTTAACTGGCCTGTGAGGGTCCACTATGTTTAAAGTTCCTGAATTTAGTACTGTGTGGCCTAGGGAGAAAGGGAATAGAATTTTGTCCTTACTCTGGGTGGAAGTTAAAAGTATAAGTTACATAATTATACTCCACATTGTATGTATAGAAATGTTTATGAACACACAAAAAGCAAAGTTTAAAGCCGAGATTCACATGTATGAAAGAACATGTCTTTCTTGATTTGAGTTACCTTATTCTTCCTCTCTACTGGCCAACTGTCATAGTGAATGGTGCTCTGTAAGCTGCTACAGAAGAAAAGGTACTGCTTTGGAAGAAAAGGAAGCTCCTAGCACTGGAATCTACATGCTAAAATACTGACATGCCATGCAAATTCTGACCACTGATGCATTAGTGGCATCAATGTATGGAGTAACCAGAATGCACTTGAGAATCAATCTACAAAAGTAAATTCATACTTGGTATTACCAGGATGGTCAAAGGCCCATGGCTGGGAGGACATAGTACCTTGAGTGGAACCAACTATTATCATTGCTAAATGGCTATATTGTCAAAATTTCTCCTAAATATCTATGTTTATGCTTATAGACCTGGGCTGCTCTCAACCTTGATCAAAGAAGCTTTTTTTCTTATTTTTATCAGTGAATGATAGTCAATTCAGATTCATAATGGACCAAGGTCTTTAGAATAAGTGACTAAAAGTGTTCAGCCCTAAATAAAATGCCTTTAACTCCTCCCTGCTTCCTGCCAAGGCCAAGGGAACATATTGGAAGAGGAGGCAGAAATAACCTAAGAGCTGGAGGATGGAAGAGGAGATCTGTGCAATGCTGTCTTCTGGACATGACATGGTCATTGCATTCTGAATTCACAGCAGCTGTGGTTACCTACATAAGACATCAATAACATAGAACCAGTCAAAATTCCAGCATGGATCATGGAGATGGTCACGAGGATTTAGCCCTAACTGAAGAGCTATTGGCAATTAATAGCTGTGAGAGGAGAAAGAATCATTCCTCTTTGGGGATGCAGTTACTAGTAAGCTTGCACATGTTCTAGTGGATGTTCTAGTGCCACATAGGGGTGGCACTAACTGGACTTAATGGGTTATTTTTAAAAGGAGGACAAGAATTGCATGGGAAATGTGTTGCAGAGTAGGAGGAGGTAGAGGAAGCAAATGATATTTCATTGTATACACATATGAAACTCTCAAAGAATACATTTTTCAAAAAGATACATGCAACATAACTGGCATGAAAAAATGATATCTGGCCAGGCAGTGATGATGTACACCTTTAATCCCAGCATTCATGAGGCAGCGGCAGGCAGATCTATGAGTTTTGAATTCAAGGCCAGACTGGTCTACAGAGTGAACAAGTTCCAGGACAACTGGGGCTACACAGAGGAACCCTGTGTTGGAAAAAAAAACAGATAGCTATATATAGGAGGGCCATATTGAATTTCCCTTATCACCTTAAAACAAGTGAGAATGAAGGAGTGGAGTCCTAAAATAAATGAAAAGGAAGTCAAGAGACATTTCCAATCTAATGAATGCATTTGTCAGATTTAATATAAAATATTTTTTCACATGGAATAAACTTCATGTGTCAGAGCATGAGTAATAAAAGAATGAAACAAAGTAATTTTATTTACCAGAAAGTCCCATAGCAACAAAATTACTTCTGACTCTATATTTTCATGCACAGGACATAAAGTATTTGTTGAATTTATCTTTTTTGTTTTGTTTTGCTTTTTTCAAGACAGATTTCTCTGTGTACCTTTGGAGCCTATCCTGGCACTCGCTCTGGAGACCAGACTGGCCTTGAACTAACAGAGATCCGCCTGCCTCTGCCTCCCGAGTGCTGGAATTACAGGCATGCACCACCAACGCCTGGCAAATTTATCTTTTTTTTCTTCAACCAATTAGCACATGAAGTCATGAGCTACAAAAAGTACTTGAGAATTCCATTCTTTTTTTCTTTCTTTCTTTCAAAATCCTATATTCTAAACAGTGTAGATTTTTCTAGAACATTCCTGCTGCACTCAGGCCTTTGCAAGCTTGCAAACAAACAGTTTTGGGCTTCCTTCAATCTTCTCTGAACCTTTCCTTGCAATGTCAGCAGTCGTGTGTGTGTGTGTGTGTGTGTGCTCGCACACACACCACACACACACACACACACACACACACACACAGAAGGAACTCCCACAGACAGACAGACACTGTTTTGAACATGGAGAAGGCCCCAGGATGACAGCCCCTTTTAGAGAGACAGAAGCAAGTGTTTGCCAGTGCCCAAGAGATTTCGTATTCCAACAGAGAGGTGTTGTATATGTGGGTGCGGGTGGCGGGGAGAGTGTGTGTGTGGGTTTTGTTTTGCTAGGACTCTCCTGTGTCCTTCTCTCAATATGGTACTGAAGCCAAAGTAGCTTCCCTCCTCAGACCTATTTTCCCACCTGTCATCTCTGACTCCCATTTGATCCAGTGTTAAACCACTGAGCCAAGCATGAATGAGGGCATTGCTGCCTTCATCCGTAAGAGCCACATTTACAGAGTGACCTTTAGTCCCCTTGTGAAGTAGGAATACTTACTTTTTACTCTAATTTTAGAGATGAGGAAACTTTCCCACCCACTCCTTCCACCTCCCAAGTATGGTTGAGAACTATGGACTCCAGAGACATAATAGACTGGCTCATAGAAAATGCCTTGTTGTGTGGCATAAATCAGCTTGTGTGTCTCGTCCCACCTTTACTGAATGTGGGGGTAGAGTGCAGATAACTTTAGGGCACTGGTTCTCAACCTTCCTCAAGCTTAGACCCTTTAATACAGTCCCTCATCTTACGGTGGCCTCCAACCATAACATTATTTTCATTGCTACTTCATAACTGTAAGTTTGCCACTGTTATGAACTATAGTGTAACTTTTTTGAAGATAGAGATTTGCTAAAAGGTTTGGGACCAACAGATTGAGAACCACTGCTTGAGGAGAAGGAAGATTAACAGACTGATTTCTTGTGAATCCCAAGGTCTTCTAGGAGTTCAGGTTTTGTTTCCTCTATGATGACCCAATGACAGATCTAATCTTCTAACTGGGAGTCGGAGAGATGATCACAGAATTCGGTATTTTGAGTGACAGTCCCTGTTGTGAATAGGCACACGCAGGGCCTCAAGCAGGGCTTCAGTTCAGCTCAGCTCAGCTCAGTCCAGCTCAGTTCAGTTCCCTTCAGTTCTGACATGGAGCTTTGTTGAAGACCAAGGTGCTGAAAGAACTGTCAGTGCTTCAGATTCTTCTCTCCATGGCTTGTTGGGTTTTGCCGGCATCAAGTAAAGAAGATTCTTCCAGAACCTCGAGTTATAAGAAAGTGAGTTGTCAGCCTTCCATTTCAGAACTCTGTAGGGCTTCAGAAGCTTCAGCGATGGGGGCAGAAAAGTGAAGCTGCTGGCTGGAGGAAACTCGATCAAGATAATTTTAATCTTCCTCTCCACCAGCGCCTTGTGGAGTCCACTCTCAAGTTCCAGCCTGGTTCCATGAGCCAGGTAATTTTTGCTCAGGAGGATGATTAGCCGCCGGCTTTTTTCTATCAGTGAATGGATCTCATCAACAACAGCTGAAAGGTTAAGATTTGTGTCAGGTCAACAAACTACAGGGTGGGCACAGAGGAAAAACGATTCCACCATCCTGTTTTACAGTGTTTAACTTCTGGCTGCACTAACAAGGTTTTCTTTAAAATAAGCCATTTTTGTTTGTTATAGACACTCAGCAAAAAAAAAAAAAAAAATCATCTATGCAGCAATAATTGTGAGTACCCACTTAGCACTCACTGACACTATACAGTCTTTAAAGTTTGGTGTACATTGATTTATTTCACCATGACAACCACCTCATAGAAAGGGGTTGTTGTTTTCCCCTTTTTGCCAAAGGACAGAGCAACAAAGAACTCGCCTGTACCATACAGTTACTGAGTGACAGGCAGACTTAACCCAGATGCAAACAAAAACAATAACCTATGCTAAGCAAAAACACCCATTATTTTAGACCAGAGGCAGGAAAAGCTTGTCTTTAAAGGGCTGGGTACCACATGCTTCAGGTATATTCTTCTTTCTTACCTCAACCGATCACACAGGTAATGCACAAATGACCGTATGTGGCTGTGACTACTTAACATGGCTAGTCATACATGCCACGCCTTGCTCTAGACCCCAGGGAGTTCAACCAAGCCTAATGACAATTCGGCATTAAAAAAAAAAAAAGTCATTCCTTTTTACTTAGGAACTTCGAAGAAATACAAGAAAAGAGAACTTAGAAGAAATACAAGAAAACGGTAGTAAAACTATGGGTCCATATTCATGAAATAATGATGTACCTTCTGGATACCAAACCCATCAGTGTGGCCTGCGTCTCACAAGCGTGCTGCACCTAGTAAGAAGTAGCTCACCACTAGTCTGTGGTGCTTACTCTTCTCACTTCAAGGTGTTTTCCCTTTCCAGGGTGTAGTGAGAGGGGAACAGAAAGCTAGTTGTTCTTTACTGTTGTATTCTCTTTCCAGCCTAACTGAACACAGGTACAGTACATAATAAATATGGGATGAATGAATGAATGAATGTGACAAAATGACATTTGTGTTCTTTCCTCTTCCCCTTCTCCTCTTCCTCATTCCCCTCCTTCTCATGACTCCCCCTTCTCTTTCTTTTCCTCCTCCTCCTCCTCCCCCTCTTCCTCCTCCTCCTCTTCCTCCTCCTTTTTAGTTAATTTTTAGCAGGCATATGTACCATGCATGCATGTGTGTATGTGTACATGGAGTTCAGAGTCTGACACTGGGTGCCTTCCTCAGTTGCTTTCCATTTTATTTATTGGGACAGGGTCTCAGAAAAGGAAATGCCTTGCCCCTCCTCAGTTGACAGACCTATGATGCAGAATGAAAAATGTCCAAAAGGGAATGTCTGGAGTTATTTTCTCAATATTTATTACTGTGATAGTGAAAAATTGGTTAGCCAGACTGACATGATTTAACTATTAACTAGCCATCAACTGACTGGTCTCTGCTGCCTTAAAGGACTTTGGCCATTTGTGTGTTTTTAAGGTAAACAGATAATCATCTCATTAAAAAAAAAATCTCCATTAACTGTCTTCCAAGATTGCCTTTCTTACCTCCACCAGGCACCACATCTCTTTCAAAAATGCATAATTTGTATCCAAATTGTTTCTCCAGGACCCTGGGTAGAGTGTCCACAGCAAAAGTGTATTCTTCTCCATTCTCAGGATGACACTCTCTCAGGTAAGACACAAAAGCATCATATGTCTTGCCATCTAGGGAATAAGATGGACTCTGTTAATTCACAGGTAAGTAAAAAAAAAAAATGTGTGAAAGCCATATATAAAGATAATAAAATTATTGATTGTCTAATCTCAGATGCACACCAAGCAAACAATTTCCTAAACATCAACTTTAAGCATCTGCTTTGAGCCTCCTGCCATGGAGAGGGGTGGGGAATAATACTCAGGACACTGAGGTATATAGAGACACAAAGACACTAGGGAGTCCAGAAGACCCTCTTTCCAGGATTGGGGAGTAAGTCATATTTAGGCTCGTTGATTTCATTCAGCTCTACACACCACAACCTCAGGTTTGACTCTCTAAAGACCTTTAAAAAGTAAAGTCAAAGCAAAGTAACATAAAGCAAGAGACATAAATAAGACTGAGAACATACCGTGAGAGAGTAGAAGAAACCATAAGGATCTTGGAACAAGATGCTAGCAACAATGGAAAAAGAGACCATGGATTTAAATGAGAGCATGGTCTCTCTCAAGTGTGCTCCCATCAAACTCTTGATAATGGAGAAGTATTTAGATGGCTGAGAGAACAATGAAAAAATCATGTTGCTTAGCTAAGAAAGACAATTCCTTCTCCCCACTGGGTAACTACAAAATTGTGTGATTCTCCTTTTAGTTTCATGCAATCTATTGAGGAGATGGAGAAGACAAACACAACTTGAGAAAAATTGAAAGCAGCATGTTAACAGAAGAAAATCCTATGATGCAGACAAAGATGAAGGAAATAGTCTGGCCAGTAAAAGAGGGGGGGGCCTCAATGGTCATGCTTTCTGAACAAGGGAAGTTTTGAGTGATGTCTTCAATGATACAACTGATGTAGATAAGGAAGCGGGGTGGTTGGTGGCTGTTGAACAGTTTATCTCTGTCACATGAAAATGTAGTAGATAGCCAAGGAGTTGGATCTGTACTGATTGACTTGAAGGGTGGACATATTTGGGTTTTTATTAAAATGAGATGGAATGGAACATCTCTGGGTCTGTGCCTTAACATGGCATGCCACATAGCCCAGCTCTATTTCTTCATGATCAAGTTCACAAAACAATGTTTCCTCTTTCTGGCAACAGCTTGCTCAGCTCCTCTCACAGTATTTTGCTCCAGTGATTTAAGTCGGGACCTATTCCTGATATAAAACAATTGTTTGTGCAGAACTGCATGAATTTCAATTTATTTTTGAATGTGGATAGTGAGAATTTAGTAGAATAAAAAAAAAACCTGATTTCCCCTTTCCAAGCAGTTATCAATTGCAAATAGCTTCCTGGTTAAGAGGTGAGACTTGGTGTCCATTTCCCATTCTCACTGTCAGGATTTTGCCTGATTTGAACCTTTGCTGGGCTTTCATGTGCTGTTGTAGTCTCTGTGAGTTCATATATGGATCAGTCCTGTTATGTCTGGAAGACACTAATGATTGAATAGTATTTTTGATCCCCAAATAATGATATGATAATTATAATAATATAGATGGCCATTTAGGATAATAATGAGTCAGTTGGACCAATGTTTCTCAAACTCTGTGCATCAACTGGCTGTGTTTTAATACTCTTTGACTGATTGGTTCTTTTCATCTTTGTTCCATTATAGTCCAACACCAAGCATACATGTCTTACCACAGTGCTGTAATGACTAAAAAGTTTTATTTTCTGGACATATCTTCATTTCTGCCCTTGCCACAGACTGTATCTGTTCATGGACTTCATTTTTAGTAAAGCTGTTTAGAGCATTTTCTTGAATCTTTTTGTGACCTACCACACTAACTGTTAAAAGTATGAATTGAAAAAAAAATTAATGGAGCTGAGAAGATGGCTTAGTGACTGTGAGTCCTTGTAGCTTTTGCTGAAAACCTGGGTTCAATTCCCGGCATTCACATGGTGATTTAAGACCATCTGTAGCTCCAGTTCCAAGGAATCTGATGCCCTCTTCTGACTTCTGCAGGCTCTTATACACATGTGGTGCATATGCATACACTCAGGCATGCACATATAAAACAAGACCAATGAGCTTAAGCAATTTTCAAAGAGAAAAAAGATGTGTAAGGTGGGTAAAACAAATTGACAAGGGGAAAATATTATGGAAAATCAGAAGGAAAAAGGTCATTCAATGTCTATTCAAATACAAACATTAGTCTTTCTGAGCAGAGACCATGAAGAAAATATCATATACAGACTTTCCACCTCGCTGCCTCATATCTTTTCAAAGCAAGATCATACACCCAGAGTGAGAGCCAAACAAACTCCTTGTGCCTGCTAGCTGTAATATTAAAAACTGTAAGTGTGAAAAACAATGATGCAATCTTATAATCTAAAATAATAAAATAAATATTTTTTAAATCCCAGAGGAGCTGATATGAGAATCACTTTGCATCATGATGTTAAGGGGTCTTTTGTATTTACAGTCCCCAAATTAGATAGCAAAACAAAAAGACCTATTTGGGTCTCCTACATAGCCATACCACAAGCAACAAGACAAATGACAACATGGGGATATTTACCTTTCACATTGTAGATACAAGGCTAACCCCACCTAAGATATAAATAGTGTCGACAAATAAGAAGGAAAAAAGAAAGCCCAGTGCAGAATGGGTCAAGGGTGGGTAGGTTGAAAAAGGAGACACAAACAAATGTTAAGTGAAAGGAAAGGTTGCTTGTGTTTTATAACATCATAAAATGAAATACAAATTAAGACTACTCAGTCCCAAATCCTCATCTATCAAACTGACAGAAATCCAAGAGTGTGGGAGTGAGGCTATGAGGGAAAGTCAATTGTCACCTTTTGTAGGTGGAATGGTGATATAGCAGTGTGAGGGGCAAAATGGTAACACCTATGGAAGCAGCAGCTGCATCCCATCCCCTTTGCATTACCAGAAATCCCACAGAGGAAAAGGTCCCTCTGGCAAATGTCCCTACAGCATGAGTAGGAGGCAATGAATGGATGACATTAATCGCAGCATCCCTATAATAGCAAAACAAGCAAGAGCTCCAACACCCCTTGGAAGGCGAGTAAATACAGAGTAATGCTTACACAGAAATGACTTACTGAGGACCACTGGATGTGACAGCACACACCTGTAAGCCCAGCAGTTGGGAAATGGAAGAATGATGATGCACAATTATGGAGAGCCCGGTTTGGGCTCCATGAGACTCTTTCTCAAAGATAGACAGACAGACAGGCAGGCAGGCAGGCAGGACAACCCTAAAAGATGAGGGATTTCTTCAATAACATGGACAGATACACAAGGAATCATAAAGCAGAACTGAAAATAGTGACATAAGGTAACTAAACCAAGATTGGTTTATTGAAGGCAACATGAAGTAAGAATCCATGTCAACAGTTTCTTGGTTATGGCAGCAGGTGTGGCCATTGTAGGTATCAGAGACATGGGCAGAACAGGAGAAGGTCTCCTGCTGTATATTTACAAATTTTGAATTGGACCTCTATACATTTTTTTCTCTAAACAGTCATAACACATACACACATAAACAAAGACAACAAGTGAGGTTAACTTTTTAAGAACATAATTATCTTGCATTTTGGCGCTTTCTCATCACTTTTAAAAATATTGAGAAACACAGTGCAAAACCCACAGTAGCGGCTAACAGCTGGTGGGCAAGCAGATGAAAGCTGAGATGATTTGGCTTCTAACCCAGAGGTCTTCCAGTGAAAATAATGAACCAGGAAGACAGAAAATTCAATGAGAACAAACTTTATTGAGTGTGTGTCATGTATAAAGTATGCAGTGGTGTGCGTATAAACCCAACCAGATCAATAACAGCACAGGGTGTTTAGGAGGAGACAGCACACGGACATGAAACACCAAGAGAAAAACATCTGGAAAGTCACAAACAAGCACAAGACTGCACAGCACCCATCATGGCGCTCTACAGAGTAACTCCAGACCCCAGACTGTGAGCCTATCTCACAGATTGTTAGCAGTGTCATCAAAACGAGATGAAGACTAATGCTTCCTTTATTGGGTTTAGACAGAAAAACATAAAATAGGATGCCCTGGATTCACAGTATGTTACCTGTTAATGTCTCATCTCTTTCCACCAAGCGTCTGTAGAATAGAACTAAGTCAACCTTATAAATGACACACAAAGTCACCACACACACTACTGCCACAGAGATGAAAACTGCCACGATTATGCCCCTCACAAAGACATGGCCCGGGATATCAGCTATCTCTGCAGGAAAGAAAAAAAAGACACACAGAGAGAAACAGGAAGTCATGAATCAAAGAAATGTGACCAGAATTTCTAGTCATCACAATGTAGTTGCCAGTTTTGCCATTCACTCTGATTTGGATATGTCTCTCCATATGTTTTCATATTCCCCCTGGTTCCCCACACTCCTTATAGTAGTCTGCAGTGCGGATCTCTCTACTTCAACTTACAAATGCGTGCAAGGGTACCCAGAGACATGAAGTCAAAGCATGGCCACTCAGCCCATCTCTATCTGTGGAGTTTACATTTGTAGAGCAATTATATGCCAGTGTGGAACACAAAAGATTCCAACTCGAATCGCAGTTAGCGGCATGGGCAAATAGTACACGATCTTCAGCTGAGACACCCTGGACAGAGAAGTCTGGGTTTCCAGTCGGGCTCCATCAGATCCTTGAGGCTTCTAATTCCTAACATCTTCATGTGCCAAGTGAAAGTAATAAATAAACTCCTGCTTCATTTACAGTTGCTGAAAATTGAGACACTCACTCCACTGAGAGCTTATCAGTACCTGGTACACAACACTTGGGGCTTTAGAAAAATTCTAGACAAATGCCCTTTAAGACAGCTCATATCCCCTGGATCAATTCAGTTTGTAGTCACCATAGATAAACATGAAAGACCATAGAAGAGTATAAAGAATAAAAATAATTCTTAGCAGCCATCCAAGGAGGTGGTGATGGTCATACAGTAACAAAACCTTCTAGGGAAGCTGGAAGATGACTTGGTGGTTAAGGGTGCCTGGTACTCTAGCAGAAGACTTGGATTTGGTTCCCGGCATCTACATGGAGGCTCACCACCATCTATAACTCTAATCCCAGGGGATATCTGACTCCCTCTCCTGGCTTCTGTGGGCACAAGGCTTACATATGGTGCACATGTTTACCACTCACACACACAAATAAAAATAAATAAATCCTTTTTGAACCAGAAATTTTTATTTAGCTGAGATTATATTTATTTTCTCCTGAGACCAACATCATTTTACTGATTTCACAATAAACACCTTCATAATCATAATGATACCAATTTTTCATAAGTTTATACAATGCTGCTGTGGCTACATATATGCTACCTTTTTCTTTCCTTTTTCTTTTCATTCTCTTTTTTTGCTTCTTTTCAAGAGGAGATACTAATGATGTGGGGATTTCCACATCAGACAGAATAAGCAGGACTGAAGCTTTTGCCCTCTTATGTAGCATGCTTTTTGGAGATATGTTTCCAGTAAAATCAGCCATTCCATTAAGTATGCAGTTATATGTGTTTAATAAGCTAACTCTTAGAAGTTGCACACACAAGGGTCCCTAAATCTCTGAAAGATCTGTGGATTCCTGATGCACCAGACATAGGAAGATTCCATTCTCCAGGTGATATTTGTGAATTGAGAGGAGCAATGAGAGGCAGATGCTTCTGGGGTGGGTCCCAAGGATGTGGGAGGTGTCTGGCGTTGAGCAGTACCCAGGATATAGAAACATAGCCTCAGATAACCAAATCATCAGATTGGAGTGCCTCTGCTCCATAAACACATAGACCATGTAACTGATGCTCATTTGACCAGAGGGACAACAGAGGCAATCACCATGAAAGGGAAACACAGGGACCTAGGTCTATAAGCTGAAAGATTTGTCACCTTCTCTTGCTTTGTGACCTTAGATGGGTTTCTTCACCCATGAAACTTGTTGTGGGGACTGGGTAAAATCTCAGAGAAAGCTAGTAGAGTCTGTCAAGAAGAGCAATGCATTCCTTACCTTTTCTCACCAAGATGAAGCTTTTGGTGTCTGTGGCTTCCTCATTGGTCACTGTACAATTATATAAAACATTGAGATTCTTTTCATTAATATTCCGAATTCTCAGTTTTTTAAAAGCATGCAGTTTGCCTTCAGAAGTCCTGTAATGTAAGGAAATAATCAATCAACAGGCTTTGTTCATGACCAGCAAATCTACTCAGGAGAAATTATATGTCTACAATATTTAAAGGAAGCATCAACTGTGTCTTCCACTTCTGGTGTGAATTAAAATTAGCTTCCCTACTCCTCCAAGGAACAGCAGAACTCACAAGAAATCTCTCTCTCTCTCTCCCCTAATTGGAAATCATCCTATACTGTCACCTCTTCTAAGACCAGCCAATTTTGTATTCTGAATCTTTCATTGCTTTAACTGAATTCTTGGGCAGCTGGACTCTATGAAGACACAGTTTATTTAGTTCCCAGTCGAAAGGCTCTGGCTGGGTCCCTGAGCTACATCATATCATAGCAGCAGCATCTATGTATTTATGTATGGTCTCTCTCTTTCTCCCATGCTATAAAACCATCAGAATTCAATCATAGGAACTTCACTGTTGTGGTGATTTGAATAAGAATAACCTCAACGGGCTCACAGGTTTGAATAGTTAGTTGGTCAGCAGAGAGTAGAAGTATTTGAAAGGATTAGGAGGTGTGGCCTTGTGGAAGAAAGTATGTCATTGGGGGTAGGCTTTTAGGTTTCAAAGAACTCATTCTAGACCCAGAGTCTCTCTCTTCCTGGTGACTGCAGACCCCTATGTAGAACTTTCAGCTACTTCTCCAGCACTAAGTCTTCCTCTATGCTCCTGTGCTGCCTACCATGAAAATAATGAACTAAACCTTTGAAACTGTAAGCAAGCCTCAATTAATTTTTTTAGCATATAAGAGCTGCCATGATCATGGTGTCTCTTCACAGAATAGAACACTGACTAAGACCGCTGTCTAATCCAGTCAAATTACATTTGGAAGGACCCACCCTCTTAATGACACAGTTGGTTTAATCCTCCATTCCCAATAGATTCAAAAGATACTGTAGGAGTTCAAGATATGACAAATCAGATCCAAACTATGCATTTCTCAGTGGTTAAGAGAACAGACTACTCTTGCAGAAGACCTCGGTTTGACTATGTATGCCATTTGTACTTTTGTGACATGTTAATAAGCACAAAGCATTTGACATAGTTTTCAAAACTTAGAACTATGGCCCCATTTGATTGCTCTTTTAGAAGGAGCTTGGTGATTTGGATTCTGACTAAGTAGTACCTTGATAAAGTGATAAAGCATCACTTTGGTGATGCTAAAAATCCTCACCAAAATTCTCATGACTCTTTGTTTTCAAGCTTAGATCTGTACAGTAAATGTCTGCATGATCCATCGCCTTGGAACATGGTAATGATAATAATAAACAAATTATAATTACAGTTAAAGCTAACTTAAACATCCCATCAGCCACCCAGGAGCCCAGCGTCTCTACTGTCATGTGCACACATGAGTTTTTACAGCATTCACCACCACATCTCATACACGCCACATATGCATACCAAGTTGTCTTGTTTGTGTCTTCAAGCACATTAGGGTTTGATATGTCTTCTTTCCTGATGCTCCAATAAAATAGATCATTTTTATTCAGTAAAGCAGTGCAGTTAAGTTCCACATCTTTTCCTAGGTAGAAGTTGACAATTTCAGTTTTGAATTTAGAAATTTAGTAGGAGTTTCAAATACAGTCAATGTGTGATAATTGAATGTAAAATCATACCACATCCAGGAGAAAAAAAAATGGAAGAGATGCTTCATTTTAAATTTTTTAGAAGTACAATAAAGGAGAAAAATTATATAGTAATGACTAGTCATCACCAAATAATGCACTGACTTCTATTTAAATATTCACTTTTAAATCAATTCTTAAAATTGAGGGGGTCAGTGCATTTTTTTCAATCTTTAATTTGGTAGACAGTGTCAAGCCAATGTCTCTCTTCAACTACTAGGAAAACAAAATGGGTATACCATACAAACCAATAACTTAAAAAAGGAAAGGCATTGCAGCACAGGGGAAAGAACGAGAAATGGTAAAATTAAAAATGCAGTTAGCAAAGATCCCTCCCGTGTAAGTAAATGTGAGCAGCCACCTTATTTATAAGGAATTTGTTGGAGTTGAAATGAGCAGGAGTCTTATAAAGCAGAATCCATTCCTGTGGCATCTGGGGGCAGCTGCAAAGCTCATAGTTAGATCAGTGAGTAAGAGTTTGGATACATGAGGCTGTAGAACTTGATGGTGTCTCCTATGAGTTCATGGACCATAGGAAAACAAGCATTGCTCTACCAGGAAGTCCTAAACTTTCTCCATTCATTGCTCCCTTACAGCCAATAAACTTTTGTAGCGACTTGAGTATATAGGTCTATTAAATAGGTATCTAAATTAAGCATTGACTGAAAAATAAGACATGATGAAATGTGTTTTAAAGTGACTCTTTGTTATACAGATAAATTTACCATTTATTAAAGACAAAAGCAAAGCTGCATGTTAATGAGATGGTGTGCTTGTTCGGATTTTATGTGAGGGCTTAAATATTGGCTGAATGATTGGTAAGTCTGGAGTGATAGGGACCATCTTCAACATTGTTTCAAAATGTTCAAATTTTGGTTTTATAACCATCAAAGCTGAGACCACTTTACATAAATATGTAATCCAAAATGGCAGAATTATATTTAGGGTCATTTCAGAAATTCTATCCCAATCCTAAGCAAAAAATTCCTCCAACAATTTTTTGAATAAATTTCAAGTCTGCAACTCAACCAACCAACTTTAAAATGAAACACTCTAACACAATACAGTCCAAGGGTTCGGTAATTTGATACAAGCTATGGAAACACTAAAGATTTTTTTATTTTTTTGTAATTAGACTTCTATAAGACTAGAAATCTTTATATTCACAGTAAAACGTTTGCACCTCCTAACTAACACACACATCTTGAGCCTTGGAGGAAGCATATCAATACTCTTCCATGGAGATACATGGGAAGAAGGAATGCCCAGTACAAAGTGTGCGTGTTGTGTGTTTAAAACTGAGGCTGCAGTGAAGTTGTACAACTCTGGTGATTGCTCCTAGAAACATCTTGGCTTCTTTGCACCTTTGATTTGGATTTTTCTGTAATTGTGTATTCAGAAACCTTTTACTTTTGCCATTTTTTTCATGGCCCCACATTCACTTATACAGCCCCGTATATGGTCTCAACTCAACACCTTAAGAAGTTGCATTCTAGCAGCAAAGGTCTGCATCCACCATGACTGCAGTATTCTCTCCAACCCCAACTACTTAGATGCAAGGTGAATTAAATATAGCACATCTGCTTCCAACCACCCCATCTGAGTTCTGAGCAGACTGAGATAATTATGAATTACTGACCTGTGTGTCAGTTATTCAAATTTCATGCCATGGAGACAATATCCCTCTACCCTTGTTGGAGAATGTATCTCAAAATTCTCAAATCACTTAGCTCAACATCTGGTTTAGCATATGCAAATTTATGGCATCCCTTCTTTGCTTTTATTTTTAAGAGAAATTACTTAATTGTGCACACTTAAGATTTGTGTAGATCAGTGGTTCTCAACCTGTGGGTTGTAACTCTTTGGGCCATTCTGCATATCAGATATTTATATTACAATTCAAAACAGAAGCAAAATTATAGTTATGAAGTAGCAATGAAAATAATTTTATGGTTGGGGGTCACCACAACATGAGGAACTGTATTAAAAGGTTGTGGCATTGGGAAAGTTGAGAACCAGTGGCCTAGACAAATCCTAAAGGCACAACCAGTTCTATCAATGGCCAAATATTCAAACTACAAAACAAGTTCAAATCATATCTCCATAGCGTTATCACCAAATTTTCATATTTTGAAAAGTCAATAGAGAAAGTTAGAAAAAATCATAGCAAGAACCGCAGTCTACAAACCATAGACAGTCCCACTGACTTTTGAAAAGATGTGTCATTTAACTGGTCTAAAAGTGGCAATAGTCAAACAATGACATGCTTTTCATCATTTTGTAATATTCTCCAATAAATATATAATGGGTTGTATCAATCAACAGTGAGTAAATTTAGCCTTTGAAAACTCAATAATGGCCCCATTTATAACTTCAGAAAACACACATTGCAAAACATACCGAGTTCTACTTTAACAGTGTCAAACTTTGGTCCCAAAATAGCTGGAGTTATTTTACTGTTCCCTAAAAACAAAGCAAAACAAACAAAGCATTAGAATTTCCTCGAGCATATCTTGGACACACAGCGATTGTAACATGGTCATTTCATGTAATAAAGATTCGAACATAACATCTCTCATTTATCCATGATTATGTTTTCTTCAGTTCAAGTTACTGTAAGTCAACTGTGGCCCAAAAATATTAAATAGAAAAAAAAAACTTAAAATAATCAACTTGTAATTTTAAATTGTATGCCATTCTAAAATTTCCATCCCACTCCATCCAAACTAGGATACAAATTATCCCCTTGTTCAGTGTATTCATGTATTATATACTACCAACACAATTATCATGGCATCGTGGTACTTGTATTCATATAACCATTATTCTATTTCATCATGACCACAAAACACAAAAGTAGTGACACTGTTAATTTTGTTTCAGAATATTGTTAAGTTCTATCATTAATTATTGCTGCTAATCTCTTATTGTTCTAATTTATGAACTAAATTTTACTATGGGCATGTATGTATACAAAAGACAGTATATATATCAGGTTTGGTTCTACTCATGGTGTCAGGCACCCGATAAGACTTGAGTGTTATCTGGGGGCAACTGAAATCATTGCTATATATTTACTTGTGATATGCTTTTATTAACTTTTGTTAACCCAGCTCATATTATTGAAGCTTCCTTTTCTTTATGTGTATGTTCAAAGCACTGTTGAAAGGATCTTCCATCTAGTGTCCTTTGAAGTTAAACATTGGTTTCTGCTTAATGAAGCTGAAGTCAGAAGCATGTTCATCCAGGGAGACTGCTGCCAAGCACTGAGTAGACTAAATGTTTAAGACATAAAAGATGAACAATCCCACTAAGAAGTACCTTCCTACTCTACATCACTTCACTCCATCTGCCTTCCTCATTCTCTCACTTATATATTTATAGAATATAGTAAGAGTGGGATGAGCTGTATGAGGAATCTCTCCCAGGTAGCAGTACTACCCTTGAGAATGTAGGCATGTCCCAGATGCCTTACCTGACTCTGTCTGACCCTGCTATATAAGCCTGTAGGCCCAGAATCACTACTGTCCCTAGTGAATTCTGACCCTAACCAAAAGAATGCAAGCTTCTCCTTAGCTTCCTTACTTTGGAAGGAAAGCTTTCCCCAGAAATGTGCACACTTGTTGGGAGCATAATGTGAAGAGGCTTGCACCCACAGATCTCCAGGGAATGTTAAGCATACAAGATTGTCTTTCCAATGGGAAAGATAAAAAACATGTTCTTCCATCCAGAAAGCTGAGAATTGGAAGTGACTAACAGCCTGCTGGTCTGTGTTATCTGTTGGGCTAGGCCATATCAAGCTCTTACAATCAAGACTGGAGGTGGCTAGTAACCTAAATGACCCTGATAGCCAGAGGCTCCCCCAGACTCTCACAAACAGGACCAGAGGTAGCTAATAGGCCAAATGACCTCTATGCTATCTGTATGACCAAGACCAGACCAGACCCTTTGGCCCTTAAGCTAGTACAAGCAGCATAGCTATAGAAACCATCTTCTTGGGAACAGTGTCATGTACCTTGAGTTGAGTTTCAATGTAATTATGCTTCTTTGTGCAATAGGGATTGTATTACACAAGGAAACTTTTCCCAAATTATACTGGGTTTAAATACACTGGAAATAAATTGCTTGTGATTAAACTCCATGAAGAAGTCTGATCCATATTGATGAAGTCAATCTGTATCAAGTTTTCATTCTTATATCTTTGAAGGGTTCACTTCCCTGTATGACACCTACAGGGACCCCCCATATACTATGTTAATATGCACAGCCTACCAAAGCTGATAACCAGAGAGCACCAAAAACCACCATTGGCCCATGTTCTGAGGGAACCTTAGGAAGAAAGTAGCTAGATAATTATTTGCCTAAGGTCATAACACTATGGAAACTATGAGAAAGGATGTATGAGATGCTCCAACTAGAGTAGAAGTTCCATCCCTGGAGAGTATGTGTGTGAGTGATGCAGAGTCTTATCATGTCTTTAAGGAAGAAAAGGAAGAGTGGCAAAGATGGATAAGGGAAAGAAGAGACGTGAGACTACCAAAGAACTAGAAGATATGTACACAAATTGTATGTGTATATGTGGTATACAATGTGTATGTATGCAAACCGAGGCTGAAGAAATTAGAGCAAGTGATTGTAGACAGATTACAAGAATTCTGACTTGAGAAATTCAGGTATGGGATTCCTAAGATGTAGTTATAACAGGCACAACCATCCTCTGTGAAGTTAAGGCAGCCTAGTGGCCAGATCTTGTGGAAAGCATAGTGTTGTCTGATGCTGTCGTTGGAATATCCCCTATACAATTCATCTGGAAAAGTAGTCGCCCGGGCAACAGTGTTAATAAGATGGTATGTTACAGGTGGTCAAGTGATGAAGGTTCCTCCCTCAAGAACTAATTGTCATTATTGCCAAATAGGGTTAGTTGTTACAGGAGTGAGATTCTGATTAAAAGGATGAGCACAGCCCAGTTTTTTTTTTTTTTTTTTTTTTCATAATCATTTACCCTCAAGTTAAATGATGATGTAGCATGGAGGTCTTCTCAGGGCTGAGGAAGCTGTTCAGTGGGTGGGAGTTCTTAATGTGCTAGAATAGGACCTGGGTTCACCCGTGTAAACTTTCATCTGCTGCTAAGAAAATACGTTTTCAGCCAGTTTAATAGGAGCTCAAGATAAAGATTTTAAACCTAGACTTGAAGTAGTGATATAGTCTGTTGAGGGATATTCAACCACACTATGCACCCTGAGTTTGCATGTACATGAATTAAATAAAATTAACCTTGGGTCAGGAGGCTGTACTAGCAATTAGTTGACATAAATTAATCATGGAGCCTCAAAGGGCATCTGGGAGAGACAGAGAGAGACAGCAAGTAGTAGGGTGGGGTTTGAAATGTCCTAGGTTTTTCTGGTTTGTTGAAGTCTTCTGTAGATGCCAGAAAGGAAAAGGGTTAGCTAGTTATTCCTCAGCCTCTCTGAGGTCACATGTTTTTCACCCCAGCCTTTGAGTCTCGAGTCCTATTTAGACTTAGAATGATAGAAATTTAGTTAAAGCTAGAGTGGTGCCTGCAGGAGCAGAACTCTCACCAGGCTGCCACCTGAGCAGCCAGGCCTCTTCTAGAGAAGCAGGCTGGGAACTGTGGAGATGTAATTGCTGCCTGGGATAGCAACAGATTAAAGTACAGCCAGCCACTGTGCCAAAGTAAAAACAATAGTATTTTCAACCTCAAGGAGGTATTCTCTCCATCCCCAAGTAACTTCACAATGAAAGAAAGCTTCTGCTTTTCTTATATGCATTTGTTTCTTCCAAAAACCTTCTCTTACCTTTAGTAACTGTTATATTGATGGTCTTGGTGATGTTGTACTGTTTCCCATTGTGACGGAGAGAAAACACACAAGAGTAATAGCCCTCATCTCCAAATTCAGCATCCTTCTGGACCATTGGAGGTTTGACTATTTCCTTACAGTTCTGGTATTTTTAAACGCAAATTCAAATACTTCAAGTCAGCAAAGACAGTATTCTTGTCAAAACCATTCATATTTCTAAATTAACTGAGGATCTTTAGAGATAAAAGGAAACAGAACAGAAAACACATGTCCGAACAACTCACCCTCCTTCTACTGGAGCAGTGAGGTCCCCTCTTTATCATCATTGCCACTAATGAGGCGAGGGGTCTTATCACCACTATTATCTTGTTTCTCTTAATCTATTGTTCAATCACATTCAAAGAGACAGACAAAACGAAACAGAGACAGAATACTTGAATTTAAAAGAAAAAAAGTCCTGCTCACGTGAAGACTGTCTGTGAAACACAACTCTCCTTCATGAAACTTTGGGTCCAATTCTGTATTTAAGGGGGATGGCCCATGGAAATGTGGGCAGAATGACTCTAGGGGCTGAGAAGTTGCCAACTCTGAGTTCTTGATGTCCTGTACCAAAGGGCATAGATGGCCAAATCCATAGGCATGTTTCAATCTTTCTGTCTCTCTCCACATATACCATAATAATAAATAATAACAGTAATAAAGCCACTGTCTAAAAACCAGCCCTCAGTCACTCACTGGCAGATTCTTACAAGTGTAGGGACTGTGAGCAAAGGAGAGCTGACTGACTAACTTTGACCGTGTGACACAGTTCCCCCAACATACCTAACAAGGAGAATCGAATGCCACAGACTTTGTCTCATACTGGCCACTGCTGGTGGCCTCTGGAGCTAGACCCAAACAGTTACCCAAAAGTCTTACAAAATGCCCACGTGTACCTCATATTAACAAAGTGAGTATAAGTAGAATTTTATAAACCTAAGCAAGTTATTTCCAATATAGACCAAATGCTAGAAGGTCTTCCTTTTCAGTTCTAACCAGACCTTTTCTGATTCATGCTTGGCCTTATGGTCAGCTGTTTAGCCAAACCTCCCTAATTTACATGTACTGTAAAGTGTGTAAATTTGACAGGAAAAGAAGACAAGTCAACCCAAGACTGAGTTATGTGTTTAGATAACATATCAGATAAGAAACATCTTGAAAACTCACAGGTAAACATTATGACAGCAAGAGCTACGAGCACACTTCAAGGAACTCATCAATGACTCAGCTTCTTGGGGTTCCCCTGTCAGGTTTGATCTCCCACAGACATGTTGCGTATGTACATGAATGTGAATGCATACACTGTCTTACATATGATAAATATGAGACACAAGTGTGAAGAGCTCCTCCCCAGCAGCTTTTTAAGGAAATCTTACAACCCACTAAGGAAAAGGCTCACCAATGAGGCAAACAGAAAACAAACAGGTTAGGCACAAAAGAAATCATATTAGGTCACAGTTCGCACATTTAACTTATCATTTCTAAAAGAACAACAGGAAGAAATGCTGAGTTTCTGAAATGTTTGTTGTCAGATTTTTAACTTTCTGAAAGTATTGTTCTCCATGTTGGGAGAGTATAAGGGAGAGAGCGACCTGAGTTGGGGAATGTGTATCAAAAGCCAATCAATTAACCCTCTCTGGTCCAGTAATCCTACATTGATGGATTTTCATAAAGGGTTAATCATATAAGCACCTACAAATTTGTATAAATATCATTCATTATAGTCTATAAATAACAGTAAGACACAGGAAGCACACACATGTCTAATAACAATGACATCAGGTAGTTTAAGCCAAATCCATACAAAATTCAGTTTCCTCTTTGAAAGAAAGCTGTTCAAAGGTATGGGTGAATTATCACATGGTTTTAATTAGGAAAAAAAAAGACCAGTGAACAAACCACTTTTAAGGACAGATGTTTATCTAGGTCGAGAAATAAAAACAGCTGTGTGGTTAGAAGTGATTTTTTTTCACTTTCTTCAGCTTTATAAAAAAACAAACTCATATATTCAGAAAATATATCCATTTGTGTTTCCACAGTTTGAATGAATGTGGCAAAAGAAAATGAAAAACTCTAAACTAGCATTCCCAGAACTTAATGGAAAGAAAACTAAATTCCCAGAATTTAATGGAAGGAAAATGCAGGAAAGCAGATGGGAAGACGCTGTCACCATCACTTACTGAATACCTACTACAATACAGGGCGCTACCATGCTACACAGATGACATACATCGGCCCTTTACAATAACCATGTGGGACAGTATCTCACACAGGCCAAGTAAGCCATGGGGAGTTAAACCACTTGGTTTTAGCGACGGCAAAATGGTCCAGTGTCCTCCTATCCTCCACATGGAAAGTACTTTCATCTTGTTACCTTATACAGCGATGTGTGCTTGGTCGGCTCACTGTAGTTGGGGTTTTCACATGTTATCTGCAAAGATTTCTTGACTTCTACATTTCTATTTTTCACAAGTTTTTCAGAAAAACAGCTATGTTCATTTCTTTTGATGACAGTTAGGGTCCAATTTTGAAGATCATTTCTATGAAACAGAGGTATAGAGGGATTTTATAGCTTCTAGAGAGGTTTTGCAACTAATTCCAAACTTCTCATTTTACCCTCATTTCTATATGAAGAGATTTATTCATTGAGGTGAAAACTTTTTTCTGCCACCCCTTAGTTCAGATCAGAAAGTTTACAACTGTCATGGGGCGAACGGTAACACTCCAGAGAAGTCTTGGAATACACACAACATCACAACACATGTACATGCCACATACACACACCACACACACACACCAAATATATTACATACAGTCAGCTGTATGGCTTGTGTAGTAGAGCAACAAATGATTTAAACTTTATCTTTGGTACTGGATAAATTCAGAGATGCACAGACCAGGAGAGACAAGGATAGCCATAGTTACAAGAAAACTGCCAATCTTGTCTCTTCAGTGTGTGTGCCTGTGCACTGCATGTTCTATTTAAGGTGGTTTATTCTGTGGGTTTTCTCCTTACTGTCAAATAAACTGGAGTTTGGCACAGCCCTTGCACAACTGGGGTGAACTTCAGTATCTCTCTTGGCTGTGATTTCTCTTCTCAGAAGTCAGCCATCTTGAAGATAGCGATAAATTGCATGTTTTTAAACAAGGTGTTTTTTAAAAAAGTAAAAACATTTACAGTTGTATGTTTGTTTACACCACATTGGGACATATAGGTCCACATCCTAAAAATAGCAAACCTGTTGTTAAATTGTCCTGTGACCTGGGAAACATGTGTATACCTAGGCTCCCCCAGGTTCCCTTTACATCTAAGATGAGCTGGAGAGAAGGGAAATAAGTGGTCTGCTGCTCACTGACTCCCAGATATTTCACAGTGTCTGTATACAGGGGAGATGACCATTTCCCTCATGTTCAGATGAGAAAGCCAGGTCTTCAAGTAACCAAATAGCTTCCCAGTGTGCTTGTGTGTGTGTGTGTGTGTGTGTGTGTGTGTGTGTGTGTGTGTGTGTGTGTGTTTTACTGGATGGGACCAGGATGTAAATTCACACTGGTTTGACCCTAAGGAGCAGGAGTGGTGTGCAGGAAAATACTACATTTTCACACTCTATGCAGCCTTGCTGTTTACCTTGTATTGAACATAGAGAAAACCAGCCAGGGCTGGAGAGGGTAACCAACTGTCAGTTGCTGAAAGGGAGTGAGTAGGCAGCCGTGCAGCATAACAGAGCTCGGCTTTGGAAGGGGCTCACATTCCTTCCCATTGGCAGAATCCTCTTCTTAAGATTCCTCTTGGCAGATCACATTGTTGTCTCCCTCTGCAACTCTCAATTCCTAACACTCAGCAAATCTTGACAGTGCCTGCCTTGTGCAGCAACCCTTTAGAAATGCTGAACCAAGCAACACTCTGTACGTGCTGGCAAAGAGTGAGCTCAAAAAGACTGGTATGAAGTTGAGACCAAGGGAGCCAAAATCTAGGATTCCCCACTTCCCTGTAGCCTATGATCATGAATCGATGCCATTCTGATTATAGCGGCCCCTCTGGCTGAGTGCTGTGTGGGGAAAAAAACAAAACACAGCCTAAAGGCCCCTTGCTTATAGAGCACTTGTCAACATGTACATAATCTTGGGTACTAGCATCAGCAAGCTAAAACAAGATGAAAGAAGAAAAGAAAGGGGGAGGAGAGAGGAGGGAGGGAGAGAGGGATGAAATAAAAAGGGAAGGACTGATGCGAGGTGGTGGCACACGCCTTTAATTCCAGCACTTAGGAGGCAGAGGCAGGGCTCCAAAAGCTACAGAAAAACCCTGTCTCTAAAAAACAAAAACAACAACAACAACATAAAACAAAAAAGGGCAAGATTGTTATTTTCTTCTCTCTGGCTACACCTCCACCACTGAAAATTCTCTCTTCTGGATGACTCTCCTCCTTAGCTTATTTTTCTTCCCTTTATAAAACATTTTAATTTTTAAAATTCCGTGTGAATGCAAACACGTGTGTATGCACATATGCAAGGAAGCCATCTTGCACAGCCCAGAAGAGGGCGGTGGCAGCTGGAGCTGGAGTTCCAGGTGGTTATGAGTCACCCAACATGGGTGCTGGAAACCGAACTCGGGTCTTCTACCAGAGCAGAGCATTTTCTTAACCACTGAACTCTGTCTCTCCAGCCTCCAGTGCTCTAAAAAACACTGGGCCATCTCCGCCGCACTGATTCCCTTCTTTAAAGGTGACCGAGGCATGAGGTTCTTCTTCTGCTTTCACTGTATCTGAGGATGGTCGAGGAACCTGCTTCCATGTGGAAGCTCACTTATACCCAAAGCCATTGTCAAAGCTTCTTCCTTGCCATCGTGTCATGTCCATTCCATCCAACTCACCACCTTCCAACATATTTCATTCAGGGTTTTCTTTCAACTCTTCGGAGCCTCTCTGTGCCTCCATGCTGTGCTCTCATCCGCCCTCATTCTGATCATCCTTCTGTTGCTTCCTAAACCAGGCTGTGTTCTTGGCCCTCCACATCAGAAAACTCAAGAGCTAACACCCTCTGTCTCCATATACTCCCCAGGATGACCATAGGAGCCTCTGCCTCTCAAGTGTCCCTTTCTACCTCATTCAGAATAACCATGTCTTTAAGTTATGTCTCTGCAACTCAGACAGTGGAGACATGGTGTCTTCTCCATTCATCTTTAACTTGCTCTAGAAAGATTCAGTTGCAACCAATTTCTTATAATTATTGCTCTAAAATCGCCATAGGAACTGCACTGTTTAAAAACAACAACAACAACAGTTCTACAGCTTATTTCGGAAACTCAGAAGTTTCTGTGTCTAATAAACAGCTATGACCTCATTTTGTGAAAAACCACAGGAGTGAAAAGGGCTTTGCTGAGAAATCTCACTTCTCTCTCTAAGGCTCACTGATAATGATCAGGATTCACCCTAGAATAGAGAGAGGTTTCTAAAAGAAATCTGCTACCTCTCACAGCACAGTGGGCACCACCCACCTAGCTGTAAGTGAGCTTTTACAGATCAATGTCAAATATAAGATGTTTACCTACCTGTGTGTTCATGAAACTCTGGGTGCATATATTTATGTACATGCTCTCCTGCTGACTTGGTTACTAGTTGGTAGCTTGGTAACAACTATACCTTTTCCCCAGTAACCCTGTTTCTTCTTTTCCAGTAAGCTCTGAAAACTAGACTAGGGTTATTCCATACATCCTACACTTTCTCTGAAGTCTGAGGAGGCCATGTGGGAAACTGCCCTTCTTGCTCCTTTCTCAAGAGCCATATCATTCATTCTTAAATCCTTGCTACAGAACTTTAAAATCCACCTCAATCCTATCTCCACTTATCGTTAACAAGGATCCCCTAAAAGGAAATCTCATGAATGTAATCATTCATTGAAGTCACTAGGAAGATAAATACAGAGCCACTGGCTCAATTTTCCTGCATTGAAATTCAAGTTTCTGTTGAACTAAGAGCAGGGGAGGAAAAAAAATGCATGGGTTATCTGAGCTTACAAATGTGTATTTGGGTTGCTGAGCCAAAGCCAAGAGTCCTGGGAAATATGTTGAAACAAAATGGTTTACTCACCCCACTTGGGAAAAGTATGTTCCCTCATCCTCCAGCTCAACTGGCCAGAATTCCAAATCATAACTATTCAAAGTAATTCTGGGTGAGCTCTCAGTGTTCAGCTCTCTGTATCCATGTGAAGCGTTGCCTTTGAACCATCGTATAGTGGCTGTTCCATTCTTGTGCACGGATGACGATACGCCACAAGGCTTCAGATAAAAAGGCTCCCCCTCTATCGTGTGAATTTGTGGGCGGTGAATGCAATTCTCTACAGAAGATTAATCAAGGAAGGGGAGATAAAACAGGGCAAAAGTGATTTTTCACCCCTCCAGTATAAAAGTAAGAGCAGTGAGAAAGCTACAAGAAATCTCAGCATCACATTCCTATGCTGGCTTTTGTCTGAAAGAAGACCTACTGGAGATAAGACACTTTAAGAACAAAGATGAAGATAAAACTGATGGCTTCCCTAGACAGAAAGCTAGCTGTCAGCACATAACCAGCTTTCACTCAAAACAATGCACCGTGATCACATCTTAAAAGTATAATGCTTTGCAAGTTACTGCTAAGGACAGATAAAGAAGTCATAGCGTCACCACATTGTCCCAAAATGTCACCATTGTGGACTTGCCATAGAAAAGACAAGACATCTATGTGTGCCTTCTTCATCTATACTAGAACAAGCTTCATGTCCCTTGTGCTCAACCAGTCTGTCTACTCAAATCTAGGAAGGTTCTGGAGATATAACAGAGTTCTTGGGTATCTAAGCCCCTGCATCATGTTTCCATGTAATTAACCAAGAACTGATGAATGCAGAACACTCCTGACACGGAATCTCTTTCTCTTTCCATCTCCCTGTTTCTTAGCTGAGATCTGGTCTTTGAAAATTTACCCATTTTTTCATCTACACAGAATCCACCTAAATTGGAATTGTTGAACAATTCTCAACCCCCTACCGTCTTGGTCTTGAATGTCCTTACTCTTCATTTAGAAAATTACCAGCTCTTAAGTAAATGGAATATTTCCTTAAAACCATATACAAAATGTTATCTCTGTAGTTAGGGCTTATTGCTCAGAGCAACATCCTGGCTCTAACTTAACACTAACCACAGCAGAAGGAGGAAGTAGCTCAAATGTCAGATTGACTTCAAAGGGCACAAGTGACACTGAACATCAGCTTCTCGCTGGTGGTTGTAGCAGAATCTCTTTTTTACATTTTGATTCCCCAACACAGCTTTTCCTTGACAGTCAAAACAAGCTAAGTCTTTAACATTTCCTTAACTTTCCTGCCTTTCAGAGTCCTATGTGCTAAAGTGTACAGCTCATACAGTACCTGCTCTCATGTGTCTCCATCCTTTTGCACATCATCAAGTCTATGATGACTGTTCAGTTTCCTACATGCAGCAGTAGTGTGTTCTTTCCTCATTATTATGTAGTGTTCAGCCATGCTGCAATGTAACTACTCATTGTATACATACTGAGGACTTGGATTATTGTAAAAGAATCTATTGGATATTTGAAGTTATTTTAGGTTTCCAAGTGTTGATTCATTAAAAAAAAAACCTTCTATAAACATAAATACCTGTGCTTTGATTGATAAATGCATTAATTCCCCTTTGGAGATGGCCTCTATTTGAAAAAAAAAAAATAATAATGGGAGGTAGGGAGTTGGACGTCTATAATTATAAGGAAGCTCACATCTTAAGCTTTACTTTTGTTTAGCATTACAGGCTTGCTTTGTTCATTAATATGATGCTCTTTAGAAACAGCCTTTGGTTATACAAATGAACAGAGGTCAAAGTATGTGGACTATGAACAGACAGTTCAGCTCTTCCAGGGACAAAGTCAGTGCTTTTAAGTGTCCTAAGCAGACAACTGTGAGAGGCCAGCACCAACAAGTCAGATGAATTCCACAGAGGAATGGGGATCTAAAACCTGAGCCCCAGACTCAACAAGCTGTAGAGTTGGTTTTGTGCCAAGATTGTGTTTCACAGCAATCAGGATCAGGTGGTTTGTCTATAGAGCCTGGGACACATGACACACACTTTCCTGTACGACCCTGACAAATCATTTCATACCGAGGAGAGACAAATGAGCAGACTTCAACATTTAGGTAGCACTGCACTGTGTGGTAGGTAGCATTCCAACAACGCAGGGTCCATTCACAAGCACGCCTCCAAACTGGACATGTATTAAGAAAGCAGGAAGAGCTAATCTCTGTTTTCCTTCCACAGTGATTCGCAAAGTAAGGGATAGGGACTCTGGTGTTCCCTTTGGTGGGTAACATTCTGAAAAAAAAATTAACTGGCTTGCTCCCTTTCTCTTCCAAGTCCTGTGCAAATGGCCCTCAGTTGTGGAACTTCTCTCCAAAGAACAGGACATTCAAATCCTTCCCCATGAGGCAAAGAGTATCAAACAACCACGGCTAATAAATTAGAGTTGATGTTTGGCCTGCTTTGATGCGTGCTTTAGCTTCTAGTCCAGCCTATCTCTTTCTTATATTTTCTGGCACTTGGGTGATTTCAAAGATTTGGAAAGGATTTTCTATTTACTTTCTTTTGAGTTTCCTGTTTAAAATGAATGAATTCTTGCTGTCCTCTCAGCAAAGGGAAAATGCATGATATTGCCTTAAACCAATAAAAAAGACAAGTGTTTTCTTCTTCTATTTCAAACTAAAGGACACAATTTTCTTCCAAAGTATAGTTTTTATACCCTGCCTCTCTTTATAGTAAATACACTGTATACCTTCATTTAACCCATTCCAGCCACTCTCCCCTTCTCTATCCCAGGATCACCAAATATCTCCCAGCCTTTTAAAGTACAATTTGAAGTCACTAATGTTAAATAAATTCAGCATCCTCAGTAACCATATAACTTCCCTCTAGCTTTCTAGTGGTGTCTACTAGTGAATGTTTATAAATCACTTACTTGAGGCACTTTTAACAATGAGAACACAGAGTATCAAGAATAATTCTCCACAATGCATGATTAGGTTTCTGCTTCAACTGGTGTCCCTAGACAAAGAATAATATAAATTTAAACTTAAGCCCTCAAACAAGCCAATTCCACCTTTAAAAGGAAGTTTAAACTACACATAAACAAAAAGCAGTCCAGCAATGTTTCATATCTCTTACATAGTCACCAATTTTCCAAACTTCTAGTGACATAGAATAAAGTAATTTTAAGGCAATACATTTTAGCTCCCATAAAGCCTAATTATTTAACATTTTTGATAGAACAGAGCCCTTGACTTTTAGCTTGATACACCATATCTGGCCCTCGGCATCAAAGTAAAAGTCTAGAAAAATCTATGATTCTGCAGATTAAACAATCCATGGCATATTGAGGAATGTAGTTCCACCTATGCAGGCACATGTGTGTGTATATGCATGTGTGTGTGTGTGTGTGTGTGTGTGTGTGTGTATGAGAGAGAGAGAGAGAGAGAGAGAGAGAGAGAGAGAGAGAGAGATTCCATAACTGTCTTTATTATGCGAGCTAATCACCTCATAAAAAGAAAATCCTCACTTTGACCCAGAATTTCAGAAATTTCTGGCAAGTTTCACAAGTCTAAGAATTATGTTGTCCTGCCTGACAGTAAAGCTTGCACAATGCCTGGCTCACGGTAACCACTGTCACTGAAGAAGAGGTGGTGTGTGCCTGGGGCATGAGTCAGCATGGGCTGACCCAGTGCGTTTCCTTTGGGGAAATGGAGAAAGTAACAAGTCCCAGGAGTTGCACTGATCCTCCTTACACTGACTGTGACCTCAGGTCCCTGATCTTGCTGCTCTGAACTTGGATTCTAGAACAACCCAACCTTTACCTTTCTAATTATGAACACTGATGAGAGTAGAATAGAAGAAGGTTCTTCCTTGGTGGAGCCATGCATTAAGTCTAAACAGTCCACAAATAATCCCACACCTCTCGTTTAGTGAAAAGCCTACTGCCTCTACCCCACTGTCTCAAAAGAACACTGCTCACACAGAACACAGCAGGACATGAAGAGGTTGGTTTCTTTCAGGGGCACACAAAACTGACTAGAATCCCAGTCTGGTAAAATTCAGGGAGCCATGGACCTTGGGCAAAGAAAATAAGTAGCTCAAGAACTGTTGGCTCATGGACAAAACGCAGAGGATAAAACAGCTTCCTCCAGAATCATGGAAGAGTCACAGTACCTAATGCTAATGAAGACTTCTGCATGCATGACAACCTCATAACCTAGAGCAATACCCCAACTGCCACTCACTTCCCATCTTAACTAGTCAATCACAGGAGAAGACTTTCATGATAAAGCTACCAAAAACATCTACCAATTTGCAAGAGATGATATAGCATAAAATATATACTGAATATAAAATATATACTGATACATACTGAATAGTATAAAAACAAAAAAGGACATTTGTTCATGGAAAGTACCAACCATTCAGAGTAAAACTAGAACAAAGTACCAAGCACCCAGTCGCATACCTTCTATTACTGTCTAATAGTTCTGTCTCGGGTAGAATGTGAAATGTGACTTCCTCTATGCCATTTCTGCAACTAAGGCTGTCACAGACTAGCAAGAGAAACTGAGTTTTCTTTTTCCTTTTCAATTTTAAGCCCTAACAAGAAATAAAATTACATAATGATTCAGCATCCTGAAAAGCTACTAGTTTTCCATGTGAGACATATTAAGACCTCGGTGTCTAAAAAATAGATGCTATCCACACAGTTGTGTGAGTGGGAGAGTGTATAGTACTTGAATGTTCTACGGTACTTCTTAAGTTGTGTCTGTGAATTTAAGAAACTGGTGTTTTACTAACTACCAAATTCACTTGCAGAAAAAGAGCTATTCTGAGAAGTGACCTGTTACAGGCCAGCAGCCAAACAGTGATAAAGTAGATGTAGAACAGAACATTATATTTTTTGCTTGTAGGAATTTTAAGGGTTGTTAGAGTTTTGTGATTTTTTTTGAGGTTTTTGTTTTGTTTTTGCTTTTCAGTAACCTTGAAGTATCTTTCTTTCTTTCCTTCATTAAATTTTTTTTCTAGTTTGTAAAACAGTGTCTATTCAACGTAGAATATATCCAAAACAAAGGATGAAAATTGAAGATATTCTCAACATGTATAGTATTTTTGTGCACTTCTGGTACTTTTTGGATACATTTACAAATAATGAAATGATGTCTAATTAGTTTCGTGTCTTGTATTTCCTCTTGATAATTAAGCACTGAAGGTCTTTCTACCTTACACTTCTCTTTGTTCTTGCTATTCTAATTACCACCTCAGATCCCCCCCTCATGTGCATGTCCTATGGCTTACAAAATGAACTATTTTACACAATAACCCATGGCCATCTTCATTCATAAGGCAGGATAGCTCAGTTTTATGGAGTGCTACTGTTGGCACAGCCTGGCTGGGTCTGACTCTTCATTCCTTACGTTACTAGCATAACAATCACCGGCAGAGCACACACATAGCCAAGCTGTACTCTGAGTCTTTTATCCATAGAAAGGAATGACAGTTCTATCTCCCAGAGCTGATAGGGTGGCTACAAGTGTTCCTAAACAAAAAATCCAGAGAATAGTAAAAGTGTCACTTAAATTTTGGCTGTCACTCTTGTTTTTATTTCTTATCGTTTTATTGGTGCTCGGATATGGTGGGACCGTGAAGGGGACCAAGGCAAGAAGAATGCTGCCCAACCACATTCCAGAAACCTCTTGCAGCTTCTGTCTCCTCCCTCAAGGGTGAAGAACACTTTCTACCACACCCAGGACAGCACACGTGGCCTTGAGTTTTCAGTCTAATGAGGCTGTTTAAGTAGGGCAGGGCCTCTTGCTTATTTGAATCTGTGTTTTCTTCTTATTATAAACAAAGCAAATAGTCACATAACACTAGCTGTTTTACATTTCATGCTCATGAACCTTTTCACAGAAAGTGATTCTTTCCCCCATCTCCAATGCTTGGAATTTTACCCAACTTGTTTAACTTACTTTTAATTTCTCTTTTGGTATATTAGCATATGGAAATTTTATAACCATGCACTTAAGCCAATACTCCTATGTGTGTTTTTCCCATTAAATTTTAAGTGTAGATCACTCCTTTTTATTTACTCAGTGGTAAAACAAATGATTGCCCATATTTCCTCCACCCTTACAGCTTCATTATTTTTTTCCTTTGACTTATTTTTAAATTTACAAATACTAATTTTGCTTGCCACGGAAACAGAACTGAAATAAATTTCCACTTCCCAAACATCGATGAATTATTTCTCTGTCTAATCAAGTAGCCCCACCTTCCCCTTGAAGTTTGTTGATAACCACTTACAATGTACAGGGTCTCCCAGAGCATCTATGAAAAATCCAGCACAGACAGGGTGCTTGCCCAGGAGCAAATGTGTGCAAGCATACACACACCCACTTTCTCTTGTCTTCACTCTGCTTATCTATGCATAGTAATCGCTACTAACTACCATGTGCCACTCTATGTCTGCTTGTTGCTTTATTTGCTGAGTTGATGAATGAACCAAATCCATAAAATAAAGACAATGGGAGTCCTCAGTGATCATTCAATTCACTGCACACCTGAACCATCTTCTACTTTTTAAAGCATGACGCCGTCAAAAGTTTGTTTTGACAAACACGATGCCCAATAAACATAGCACGGAAAGATATTGTAGCCTGGGCTCCACACAGCTGGCAGGGGACAGACTGGGCTCCACACAGATGGCAGGGGACAGAATGAGCTCCACTCAGATGGCAGGGGACAGACTGAACTCCACACAGCTGGCAGGGGACAGAATGGGTTCCACACAGCTGGCAGGGGACATCTGGGGCTCCACACAGCTGACAGAGGACAGACTGAGTTCCACACAGATGGCAGGGGACAGACTAGGCTCCACACAGATGGCAGGGGATACCCTGGGCCACTGAATCTTCCAAATTCCCCCACTGACTCCAGTGTGTAAACAGATAGAAAGCCACCAATCTATATTGGTGTTAGGACTTAGCTGTTCACTCAGTAATTTTATATTATATATATTCACTTCAAAGTTCATATAAAATTAATGTGTACAAGTATGTATGTGTGTACCCATGAATACAAAGAGTAGTTACAAACTCAATTACCCAATGCTATAAAATTTTCTCTAGACTGAAGAAGTTCTCTTCCAAATTTGTAATGACCTGGTGGCATAGAAGGAAGGTGAGCGGTATCTTTGTCCCCCCAGGCAAGGGTGCACTTTCAGAATATCCTCACAGGGTGTCAAAGTGACCGTGCCCTGAGTTCCTGATTCTGTCCCATCCCCTTTGGGGGTCTTACCACAAGGAAATGAAACATATTCTAGAAAACAAAATACAAAAAGCAAAAAGACCCAGTTCAACTGAACACATGGATGTTAAGCTCCTTTAAGGTTTCCCAGTGAGGAACCTGAGGCTGGGAAAGTGGAAAACAGCCAAGTCCATGACAGTGAGTTTCACTGACTCACAGGTAAAAACATTGCCTCAATGTCACCCATTCATTAGCGAAACACAGCACTGAGAGATCCCTAACACAAGGCGCCTTGATGAGAGTTGCATCACCTCACGAGGTTCTTTTTCCATGCTGAGAACTGAAGGTGGGCAAGGCGAGCATGCCAACACTGAGCTGGGCTATCGTGAATTTTTTTTTCTTTAAACACAGTCCTTTCTCTACAGTCTCTAATGCATAAGTCTTTTACATCATCAGCAAAGTGGTGAAAGAGCCAGGTGTAATTAATTGATCTTGGACACACCCATGCACTTCTGCCCTAAAACAAAAGATGTGTGAAATTTGTTTTCCATCAATAAGGCTGAGAAAACCACTACCGGCCACCTCACAGTGCTTGAATAAAATTATCTGCTGCTATTATCTCCACACTCCCCAAGTGTGCCTGCCGAAGTGTGGATCCAGGCACACAGACCATACTCCCTTCCTTCCTATCCTCCAGGACCCTTGCAATGTAATTCAGTGTTTGGATTCCCCAGGAAGCTTGCCGGTCCAAGCCAACCCTACCTGGTGGCATCTCCATCCCTCATGGACCAGCCTCCACTTTCTGCAGAGGTCCCTGAGAGAAGGCTCCCTGCCTTTCCATCTTGTGTGCCTAAAGCAGGTGTTCTTAGTCGTGTGTGTGTGTGTGTGTGTGTGTGTGTGTGTGTGTGTGTGTGTGTTCTTGTGCTTGTGTGAGGGGGATCACACTATCCCCAAAGCCTACATAAATCAGCTCCCCCAGTTATTGATTGACAATACTGTGACTGGGGGGGCTTCTCACCTCTGGATGCCTCTTGATTAAACACAAAGATTTTGAAATCAAGAAAAATAAAATGTGACTCTCCGATCTATTACTAGATGGACGTCCTTAGATAAATTCCCGAATCTCTCTAACTCCCTCCCAATTTATTAATCCTGATGATACTGCCTATTCTATTCGTTGTCTCTGAGGTTTGCACAACTGGAACAAGGCTGAAGAAAGGCTTTGAACACTGTCAGCAGGGGGTGAGCACTGAATAAAATCAACTGTGGCTGTATTCCAGCTCCTCACATCTCTCTGCAAAGGAACTATAAACCTGTAGTCTAAGTATCC